CGCTGTCTGACATTGATGGACGGTGGTGATGAGATAGGTTTCCTTTGAGGCAGTTTTTTTTTTTGCCTTTTTGTTGGTTTTAATTAAATTAATTATAATAATTATGTGCGATGGAAGATGTGGGTTGGGTTTCCAGCTTCAATTTTCCGGACATCATGATTTGAAATATATATGCTAACTATGTAAGACATTATACATTAGTCTTCAAAGATTCATTTTCTAATCAGCTGGAAATGGCTTCTAATACCTCGTACGCTCAAGAGCGAAAGGAAGAATCCATTTGAGGAGAACCTCAAGTCTAATTAGTTAGTTGGTGAGACAATAATTTATCAAGGTGATGATCAGTAGCTGGTTGCACCACCGTCTAGTTATGAGCTACTTAGAAGAGCGTAGACTATCTCTACAAACCAACATGAGTCATTTCAGCATGCTTTGTCCTAACTCACATGTTTCCTAGTAAAACAACTAGGAGGTTACTTAGTCGAAGATTACTCCAAGTCAAGCACACTCTTACAATTGAGTTACCAAAAAGGAAGGTGCACCTTATTAGTATAGGTAGTGACTATACTTTTCTTGACCATTCTTCCATTATCTCAAAATCTCTCTTATTCAAATGTGGTATCGGTTCATTCATGTACCTCTCCTCTCTACTAGAGCATCACAATATCAAATATATATAAGACATATTAGGGTTCATATTAAGTATATCAGATATATCTTTGGTATACCAGCATTCATAATCAAGTATATTAATGTATTCATTTCTTCAGTACTATAGCAAATCAGGTATATCAATTATATATCAACATTCATATAAGATATATAAGACATGTATTTAGGTTATAAATGACACATATTTTTATTTAAAAGATGTAAATAAAACACGACACAATTCAATAAGAGAAACCAAATACAGTAAATAGAAGTAATATATCATTACGACATTGGTCAGCATTAATATAAGATATATCGTTGGTATATCAACACTCATAATCAGGTATATTAATGATAAAAGGAAAGAAAGCGTCTCAAGGTTGGATTGGGCCCGTGTTTGAGTTAAAGTGTTCGCGAGTATATTGGACTTTTGATTTCTTATGTATAAGTTAGGCCTCCAGATTTTGCTATTTCTTAAAATTTAAAAAATGGTGGCCACGTTTACGAATTCCTATTAATTTTGTAGCTACTTCTTCAAGTGTCCAAAAAAAATTACAAATATTTATGTGGAAAAAAAATTGGGCATATGGATTTATTTTATTTTAGTTTATAAATTTTTAAAATATCTCGTCTCACAAGTCCCGAAAAAATAAGGTTAAGTTAAAAGCCATGTTTTTTAATTTTTAAAATTGTAACTAATAGGTCCCGAACTTTAATAATTGTCAAATAGGTCTAGAAATTTTCAATCTCGTGTTTAATAGGTTTATGAAATTTAAAAGTACTTAATAGTCGCTAATTTTTTTTATTTTGTATCTAATAAGTTTTCGGTTTGTTAAAAAAAATTAATTCATATACCTATTAAATTTTGTGTCTTATATGATCTAGACTTTTAATACAAAGGCTTTTGACAACGGTTTTTTTTTTCTTTTTCGACAAATTTATCCAAAAATGGGAGAGCTTCCGAAGACACTAACTTCAATCGATAGTGTGTTAATAGAAGATAGAAGAATAATTAAGAAATGTGATTCTATGGACGAAAAGTTCTACTTCCTTTACAAATTATATACACACTCCTCATACTACTATGATGTTTGTTACTACTCTAATTAATTTATGTATAATTGTTTCTAGTCATTTTGTGGGTTTTTATTTATTATTTTAATTTGATGTATTTTCACTTGACCAACACCGGTACTTTACTTTATTCTATCTTATGTGTTTCTTCTCTTTTTATTATTATTATTGTCTTCCATACAGTATGTGAATTTGGGTGCATAGCATATAATTATTTGGTGTATTTTTTCAAATGATTTCTATTTTATCTTCTAGCCAAGTGACTGTAAATCTTACGCTCAAGTTGAGACAGGAAAACAAACATGAAAAATATAAGGAGAATGACCAAAAGAGAGTTTCAGTTACCAAAACGAACTTAAGCAGTAATTCGTAACTATCTCCAATTAAGAAGTTGTGAGTTCAAAACTCCCTTACATGTTGTACTTAAAATTATATAAAAAAATGACAACACAATTATTAGGTATAAAATATATGTTTGTAATAGTTTCTTAAATAGAATTATGAGAGTGGCTGTGTGGTAATTCTATAGTTAGGATAGCCAAATATTTGTACTAGTCAAGTGTATTTGTTGGTAGTAGAATTGGCTGTGTGGCTATTCTACTGTTATGGTAGTTAAATATTTGTGTTGATCAAATATTTGTAGTAGTGGGACTGGTTGTGAACTATGTGTTTTAGGTTCACCTTTGACATGTCTCAGATTGCTTGTATTGGAAAAATCATGGAGGCAAAACAATTCAGACAAAAATTACTGCAAGCTTGTTGGGCCAAGAGAACACTTTTAATTCGACCCAAACCTAACTTTCCATGGCGCCACAGCATTCTGTTTCTACTGAAAACTATACTATTTACTTAAAATATGCAACAAAGGCTTCGGATTTACTTCCTAGGATGGTTAGGCCCCAGATGGTCAGATCAGGTTTGTCTGCCCATAGTGGTCGGGTTAGATAGGTTGGGATGGGTCAACTAGAAGTGGTTGGCCCTAGGTTAGTACGGCCGTGCTGGTCGACTCAAGTTGGTTAGAGTTTGGATGGTTGAACCCTAAATGGTCGAACTTAGGATGGTCAAGCTTGGGACAGTCGTTTCAAGCTTGTTGGTCCAGGTTGGTTGATCGGAGTTGGTCGATTTGGACTGGTCAAACTGTGTTGGTCGACTTGAGTTGGTTGGCCATAATGCCTTCTTTAAATATTATGTGATGCTCTTTTTATTATAATTGAATACTAGGAAGAAATGTAAGTTATGATCAAACAAAATATTGAACTATAAACTTTGACTCAAACAATCTTATTGAGTAGAACCATTTGTGGAATTATTATGATTTATTTGGTGACCAACTCAATATGGACACAAAATAAATTTGAAAACTAATCTTAAGATACATAGATAAAGTTACGAGGGAAAGAATGAAGAGAAAAAAAGACAGTTCAATGGTGTGTGTTAGATTTTTTGAGTCGTTCTTCGTGTGATCTTTACCTTATTTCTTCCTAAATTTTTGATGTGACTACTTTTGGATGTCTTTTTCTAGTCTCAAAGAGCTAAATTTCATTCAAAATGAAAGGCAATGAGATTATACATCTTTTTTCAAATAACTTACGCACGAGAGCTTTTTTTAGTACATGATAAAGTTTTTTTTTCCCTCTCTCCATTCATCTTTATTTTTCTATATACTTTATTTATGAAGATAAATTAAAAATACTTCAAAGAATAAAAAATAAATAAATAGAATATTACCAATAAATAAATGTCAAATAACAATGTATATGTGACTTTTCCTAAAAAAAAAAAAAACTTTAAAAACCACTTCTAGTTCTCTTACTTTGGCTAAAGTAGAATTTAGTCCCTAAATGTTAGTTTGTATCAAATTGAGGGACCAAATATGTTTATTACTAGAAATATTAAATTGTTATATGATAAAATTTGACACTTAATTTTAATAAAATTTGTTACGATAGGGACTAAATTGTTACAAATTTTAAACTACAAGGACTAAATCGTTAAAAGTTAAAGTTTAAGAACTAAATTGTTACTTTAGTGAAAGTATAGTGGCTAGATTGTTACAAACTGAAGTTTAAGAACTAAATTGTTACTTTAGTGAAAGAATAGGGATTAAATGTGTTTTTTAACCCAAAAAAAAATATGTGTGACTACTAGCTTCAAATAATAGAGCGGAGATTCGAATCTAGCCCTCGTAAAAAAATTTAATAATCATTTTGACCAATTTAGTGAG